GTGCAGATGTCGTGGCAGGCACAGCATTTTGTGAACCTCGAAGTGCAGATTCCGTGGCAGGGGCAGCGCCTGGTTCAGGAGATTCTTATCAACCATGTTAGTGAAAACAATGTGGCCACATCTTATGATGCGGGCAGTTACAGAAGGAAACTGTCTAGCCAATTTGTTTCCTTTGCGCTGGGAGCGTGGGCACAGCGCCTGGAAGAGGCGCCCCAGGAGCCTGTACAGGCTCGGCCCCCTCCACACAGGGCCCAACCAAAGTTGGATGCCAGGCGCCGCAGGCAGCCGAAGAGCTCCGACGAAGAACGTCTGTGCAAATTGATGTCGTTCAGGCAGCTCTCATTACATCATGTATTCATCTTCTCATTCAAAGTGGCTCCTACGCGATGATTCCCAGACAGTCCATCCCCACATTATTAGCAAATCATGCCAATTTGGAGAGCAGATAGAGGTCATGCCCCTTGGTGATCTTTACTTCCCTGCATTTGAAATGAACAACCAGGAGAAATTCAAAATGATGGTTTTCAATCCAACACCTTTCAAGACCAAGCGCAAGGCAGAAGCAGAGCCCATAATGGTTCAGAAAGCCAAAGCTGCTCCCTCAGCCTCAGCTCCTGTTTCTGTCCCACCACATCTCCAACTAGCAAATCTACACAGCCTACTGATGCTGCTATTGCAGGGTTGCCAATTCATGGCTCTGTTTGGCGGGAGGTCTATGGCCAGAAGAGGCCTGCAGAGCCCTCTTCACAAGCTTCAACTTCAGCAGTACAAGCAGGTCCACCCCAGAAGAAAGCGAGACATGGATGGCTTGAAAAGGCAGGCTTGTTGATTGTTGCATATAAATGGAAGCAATGGCACAAGTGTGACTCTTTGGTGGTCACAAGAAGCTGAGTCTCCCAAGTGGTGACGCAATTGGTGGTCACCAGTTGGACGACCGGCAAGTCCAGGAGGTGATCCGCCTGTTGAGGGAGATCAAGGCTGAACAAGCAGGTTTGCGCAGTGGATGACGAAGGTCTCCTTCTCAAGTTCATGTTGAAGGCTGGAAAGAACACAAGAACCAGGACCAGTGGCCGCAGTCTTGCTTGAAGGGGCGGGGGGTCGCTTGTGTAGCGCGTTTTCACTCACTCTCACTCTCACTCTCACTCTCACTCTCCCACCCACTCTCACCCACCCACACCACTCCACTCCCCACACTCCACTCCCCACTCTCACTTTCACTCACTCTCTTTCACTCTCACTCACACTCACACCCACACTCACTCACTCTCGCACTCTCACTCTCACACACTCTCACTCTCTCACTCGATCTCACTCACACTCACCATCACCTCTCTGGGCCACAATTGTGTCTAGATCTCTAGGCTTTCCGCTGCTACACCTCTAGACTCTAGACCTCACACACAGTGTTTGGGGTTTCTTGCCAAGACAATGTTGTTTAAACTGTGTTTGGGTTTTTGTTTGTGGTTGCGTGTTTGTGATTGTGTTTGTGGTTGTGTTTTTGACTGTGTGTTTGTGGATGCGCTTGTGGTTGTGTTTGTATTTGTGGTTGTGTATGTGTGATCGTGTTTGTCGTGTTGTTTGTGGTTGTGGGCCGTTGTGGGCTGGTTGAGGTCCGGCGGGGAACGCTGCCAACTGGAGCTCGCGGTCGAAGCCCGCGGTTGAGGCCCGGCGAGGAACACTGCCAGCCGAAGCTCGCGGTTGAGGTCCGGCGGGGAACACTGCCAAGCGGAACTCGCGGTTCAGGTCTGGCGGGGAACACTGCCATCCGGAGCTGGCGGTTGAGGTTGGGAGGAGGAGGCGGAGGAGGAGGAGGACGAAGGCAGCTGACATAAAGCCTAACAACCCTCACCAGACAGGTGGGGAACACAAACAAGAAACAGAATAGAGTTTGCAAGATTGAATATGGTAGATGTGGGATATTTCAGTACATGCAACATACATTGAGCTTAGAGCTCTTGGAACTTACACTACGTATGACTACGGTCCATGGTTCAAAATTGGACTATCACCTATCATTCAGTTCCTCCGGCTGCGAGAAAGACTAATTCTAGTTCCTCCGGTGCTCTCTTGAAAACCGCCGGACACGCCCTTTCTGGAGGCGTCAACCGTGGCGGCGTGGATTCCACCGAGTTCATGGCGGAGGTGTCCACAGCCTACCAGGCACCGTCTCGGTCGGGACGTCGGACGCCGCGTCATGAAGGGAGAATCTGTGGAGCATCTTAATAAATGACGGCTAACCCAAAGATCGACGTCTCCAAAAAAGGAACACAACCCGTTAAAGGAACATGATTGATAGCTGGTGGAGGTTCTGTTGGGCACCGAACTTCAGCGGATTGGATTGGATTGGATTTTTTTAATTGTTAGAAGGGAGAAAACTTAGCTTACGCTCCTGAGTGTCTCAAACTCGTTCACACTCCTGGGTTCTCTTCCTATCCATTTCGTAGATAAGTTTGAACCAATTTCCACAGGAAAAGGTTCGAATTCTGCAGCAGCGAAAACAGGATCTTCCCTGTCTTCTACCTACTTTGCACATCGCACAAGTTCGAACAGGTCCGAAATTCCACGTCCAGCTGTGTGAAAGATGACGAAAGAACACACGCCCAATCCAGAGGCCCCACGTGGCCCATCCAAAAAACATTTTTTGATTTATCCCTAGAGAACAAACATGGGTTTTGTATGTGGAAAACCATTACTTTTCATGGGTTTTGGTTCTGGCCGACCGCCCCACCGCGGCGCTCGAGCGGTTGATCGCCGGTTCCGCGGAGGACTTCGACATCGACATGACGAAGATCGAGAAGATCACCGCCACGGTGGTGGGGACACCCAGATCAGATGGGGGAGGGAAACGGGGTGGAAGGGTTTAGGCCCAGACACGATTGGGACTGGGACTGGCATAGTGTTTGGGTGGGGAAATGAGGAGTTGATAGGACGGCACCAGGTGGGTATTGGAAAATGAACGAGGTGGTATAGTCAAGTCAATGGGCTGACATTCCTTGATTCGTGGAGGATGGTGATCCAGACCAGACGCGTTGCTGGGTGGTCTATTATCCAGTTCGACTTTCATTTGGTTTCGTTCGACAATGGATTAATACCAGCGGGGTTCAACCTGGATGGAGGCCCCTCTCAAATCCATGCCCTTATAGCCTTCCCTTCGACCAGAACAAATTAAGAGTTTGGTTGACCTGTTTTTTTTGCACAGAAGAATGGAATGGAAATGACCTTTTGGGCTATTCAACATGTTCCTCAAAACCTGTAACTTCCAAAAAACACTCCCAGTAGCACAGTTGCCAAGTTGAGAGGTACCAGTTCTTCTCCCTGTTAGTTCTTTTCATGCCTTCCATCCATGCGGTCGTGGTCGTTTCCATCCACGTGTCTTTTTGACCGTGGCCCGTCTTTTCGATGCCGGCCTGGCCTGACCGCCTGACCCAGGCTGGTGAAGACATGGTTGGGAAGTCACGGCCTCAGAGGCGCTAGAGGTGGAGTGACAAGAAGCACTCAGCGCGTGGTCGGACATTCACAGAACTGCACGGACATCTTTGGACACGTACTATGTACCGAAATCAACCCGTTTGTAGCGGCAATGTTGGAGGAACTGGAAACAGGCGCGCCCGGCGTTTTTGTTGAAGAGCTGGCCCTTGTCCTTCTGACAACCATGTATGTCGATGTCCATTTCCAGAAGCCATGCATCGGGGCCCAGTGACTGCCCAGTGAGTTTATGTTTTTCAACTTCTGAGTTTCAAAACCGGATAGCTTTAAACAGTCAACTGCCCAGACATCTGAGCTGCCACAAAGCCTGGTCAGCAGCGAAGCATACTGAAGTATACTGAACCATTCTACGTTTAAGGGCATGGAGAGCATGCAAACATATGCACACATTTGTTTTTTTGCTTCTTTGCAACTCACAGATTGAACAGATGTTGGACAAAAAGGGATGCCTTCACTGCCCCAAAGACTCTCTATACGTGGCAGCCACACTACGCCAAGTTACATCTACCACGTCTGGTGCTTTGCGCAAGATAACTGGGTGCAGCAGGCGGGAGGTTCACAGGGACTGGCGATGCGGGAGTTTGTGGAGAGCGGTTCGGGGGTGGACCATAGATTTGATTTGGTTTGCTTATTGATGATTAGGACTGCCTATTATTCACCTTAGACTAGACGACCATGTTTTTTGGGTCTTCTGGCACACATGTTTTTTTCGATATTGTTGTTCAACTTATGTATGATTTTGTAATCTTATATGATGAGAGCAAAGAAAGTAACAGCTGGCTAAGTTTGAATTGGTGAGCATGAAAGTAACAGCTGGCTAAGTTTGGATTGGTGAGCATGCCCTGAGAAGGTGGTCGTTACTCTAGATTCTAGATGTTTGTCTTTGGGAAGAAGTTGCCAGGCCCGCACCTCCGCTCAAGAGACGAGAACCTCGCCAAACTTGGAGACAGCAACATGCGACACTGTGGGTTGGAAGATGGCTTTCGATATGTACGTCGAATGCCAGATGCTCAGCTTTGGTGCTTGCAAACAGCTGTAGTAGGTTGAACAGCTCGGACAACCCTGTGGGCGCACGGTTTAATGAGGACTGGTGAAAATGGAGAGTCAAGAGCGTTGCTGCTGGTTTGCTTGTGGTTGGCTGCTGGTGTGCTGCTGGGCTGCTTCTGGTGTGCTGGCATACTATAGCTAGTGCTGCTTGTTTTCTGGAAGCATCTTCCGACAATGCCTTGTAGACTTTGGTCGCAGAGCGTTCATATACAGCTTCTTGTTGTCAACTGCCGCTTTATGACTAGCACCTGCATAGTGGTTTCGACTTTGTTTCTTCCTTTCTCGAAACAATCCAATCTCAACTTGCGATAGTGACACTGAACTGGCATAGCGTAGCTGAGTCGCCGTCGCCGTCCATCAAAGCTGCAACCAAATTCTCGAGCCACTATAAATAAGAAAACATAGAGCAATACTGTATACACAAACCAGTCAGGAAACTCCAATTGACATCTTTTGAACACTAGTCTCATAATTTGAGCTTATATTATATGACATACCACTAGTTTACATATGTCAAGTACCCACCTTCACAAGGTCATTAACAGGCTTCTTATATATCTTATATATATGACCGAAGACCGCAGGCGCCGAGCCCAGCACCCTCGCCCTCCTTCATCGCGCCCACCGTGCCGAACCAGGCGAGATTCTTTGGACGAAGACGACGGATCCGTCGAGGTGTTCGGTTGATCTGCGAGTCTCGCGCAGATCGAAAACTGCAGTCCATTCCTTCATCCTGGTGGGATGCCGCCAAGGCTGAAACTGCTTTGTAGTTGGTGTTTGTAGCTTCCTATACTGATGATTTCATCCAATACCAGAATGGTTTTACATCTCCAGGATTGGGGGGGTTCTATGGATCAACGGCTAACAGATTGCTGTGAAGTGCTTCGATGCAAAAGCGCAAGACACCGGCTATCAGGGAAGGAGACAACTAGTGAGACAACTCAGCGGATTTACAGCCTGACTACCTAATGAGTACACTCTGAACACATCGAAGTGGATGGCATCGTCTCACAAGGAAGACTATATATGCAAATCCACTTTGTGAATCTTTGTGACATTTTCGTTGGAGATCGTTACCTGAAACCCATTTGATCATTTGACCCCTGGTTTGATCAGAAAAGACCCTGCCTAGAACTATGTTACGGCGAAAATCATTGCCGTTTTCATGAAATGTCGCCTTTTTTCGTCCTGCGGTGTTCGATGAACAGCGGCCGTTTCGGTCAGGTGACGGCAATTTAATTTTTGTCCACGCATCCATGCGCCGTATGAAGAGTCATTTCCTTTTAGTGCAGGCGAGTATGAAGACATGGTAGGGTTTTCGTCGGGTTTTCGTCAGTAACTCGACCTTTTGCACAGCATTGCATAATTTTTCTGACTCTTTAGCACTTGTATTACGGCTTTGTACTTACGGCGCTCTTCCCCGTACGTACGGCATTTTGCCCATACTTACGACGCTTTTCCCGGTACCCTCTCTGAAAAATACTCAAGGTGGCAGCAAGACTTGTCACAATCGATCCTTTCAGCCATTGCCGTGATGTCAGTCGAGACTTTGGACAGGAGCTGTAACATCTTGAGAAGTGCTACCATGAGCCTTGAAAACAACGAACTCTACTTGCACGTAAAAAATTAACGAATGTGCGTAGTTTTGCAAGCAGCCAAGCTGCACACAGGGCATGGACGGACCAAAACAATATCCTCTTGGTAGATCAAGCAAAGCGGCAATTCTTCTTTTGTCACGCCGTTTGCAGTTTCCAGGGATTGAGCTACGGCAGAGAAATGAGTTACGGATAGTTACGGCAAAAATATGCGCCTCAACAGCCTCTGCTCGTCGCAAAGGAAGATGTCCCGATTGTGCGAGGCCTTTCCTGCGCTCTTGTCGTGGTCACAAGATGAATTCAAACGGAAGTTTGGGCAGCTGCTGTATGAATTCAGCAGAGCGATCGGCCTGTGGATCAAATCGGTGCAAAATGTCCTGCTCACGCAGCCTCATCGCCTGGAAACATGGCAGGGCCTGCTGCGACTTGCACGCGTTCACATGTTGACCTTTCTGTTGTTTGTTGATTTGATCGGCAGGGCAATGCCGTCAGCACTACAGAACCATGGGCTCAAGAACCTGGCGCCGCTGGCGCCGCCACGCGACCTCAAGAACCTGGCGCCGCCGCTACTATGGAACCATACTAGTCTAGTAGTTGGTGGTCCAAGGTATACGGGGTCACTCAGGGTCTAGAGGCTGTATACATACACTCCAGGGGTCGAATTGGACATATCTTCCAGTCCCATGGCGTGTTTGGGTGAAGGATTTGTTAAAAAAGCAACGGATGATGGTCGCATTTTTTTGTGCGTTGTAGTCTATCCCTAGGGGCTCACATACCTTCTTAGAAGCTACTTGGGCCGTCCAAGCCTACATAAACAATATCCAATCACCTTCTGACAAGGGACTTGGAATCAATCAGTGGCACCATTCATACAAAACCACGGTGTTGCCCAGCCAAATCCCCAAATCTTCAGGTGCAGTCTGTGATCATGACTCACCCCACACAATCATTCCGAATCATTCCTGATTTATTCCCTGACCCACCACGCACTGGATCTACTTAATCTTGTACAAGGTGGACCATGGTGGACCATGCCACTGTGTCACCACTCCATGTTGAACCACTCCACTGACATGCGCGCACGCTAACGTGCGCGCTTCTGCATCTGTGCGCGCGCTTCTACGTCCTCTTCGACCGTGCGGGAGAAACAGAGTGAACGGTGCCAGGTGGATCAGGTCCATATGACCGCCGTGAACTTGGCCATCGGCCAGGCGGGTGACGCGAGCACGGTGTGTTCGTTCGTGCTCACGGAGTGCTCGGCTGGAGCGGAACGGCTGGAACGAGCCCGGTGAAACGTGTTCCTTCCAAAGTGATAACACAAATAAATGTATGAATCAGTTATATATATATACTGTACAGAAAAGCATATTTGTCAAGATCTACCAAGGTGATTGATGCCAGCTTTATACGTAAACGATTACATGAGTCAACTATATATATATATATATAGATGCCAAGGTCTATAGCCGCAAGAATGGATGATCACCAGTACTTCACACTCTACGTTTCCAAGTTTGCAGTATTCAGGCCGTCAAGACCCGTCAACACCATCCACCCTTGCTACAGCGGTTTCAGAGTAGATGGGGGGGCACAAATGTCTAAGTTTGTTGGTTTATATGGACCCCCATCTGTCTAAGTCTAAGACATGTAGGGGTGCCAGTGCCATCTACTCTGGAACCACTGCACATCCCGATTCAGAAAGATCTTTTCTTCCGCTCCCTGGTGCGATCGGCGCACCACATGCCTCGGTATGTGCAGACTCGATGTATACAGAGCACTACTTCATGTAATGCTTTCATGTAATGCTTCCATGTATATAATGCTTCATGTAATGCACAAAGAACGGTTCTTGGGATCAGGTCATGTTTATGTTTTCCCTCTGGGCGAATCCAGCTGCAATGGGATTGTTTAGTTTTCCCGGTTCCTCAAACGAATCCAACCCCAGAGCTCCAGTCGTACCTCCTCAGGTATGACTGGACCCTCTAAGCCCTCCCCAGCCTGACCTTCTAAGAAGGTACTTGGAACCCCATAGGGCAAGAAAAGGAACGAGGAGCGTCATACCCTGCCGACCGGCTCTCACTGCGCGTAACGACTCCCACTCCGCCCAAAGCTCGCGCCGTTGTGCTTTCGCGACGCAGGTCACAACCTTTGATCAGACGCCACCAACCTTCCAAGTGGGGACGGTCAGTGGGGGCACCCGTTGGATGGGTGTTTTTTGTCCAAGACTTGGGTGTCTTCGATGTTTTGGCCATGTTTGGCAATGTAGTTGGGAATACCTTGGATCAGCCACAAATTCATTTGGTTGTATAGAGGGCACTTCTGGCTGTTTCAGGCGGTGTGAAACCGCTGAACACGTTTCCGGGATTCTGCAGTTGCTTTGGTTTTTGGACTCTCCCACCCCTGCCCCAAAAAATAGAACTATCTCCTGACTTGAGGAGAGACCAATTCACCCCGCCCGGTCACCTTCGAAAAGGCGACCACTTGCCGTTCGACCCGGCATACGGGCGAACACAGAGGGACGCCGTGAGTTCGGCTCGGACGGGCCTATATATGATATATTATAGGGGTGTCCTTCAAAACCTGTAAGAGTTGGTAATAGCACTATATTTATAGTGGTATTTTAAGAGAGGTCGGTCAACCAGGCCCCATGATCACCCACTGGGTCCAGGGAATGGGAGATATACCCCTAACAAAAAGGTACCTGAGGTACCGGTCACTGGCATCTCCTGCGCATCGACCCCTCTCGTTCCGCCGAATCCCCTTCGCCCTGCGGAGCACGGCGGCGTCGGCGTCCGAGGCTCGGCGGTGTCGGAGACTTCGTTGCAGATCACGTTGACGCTGGACGAGCCAGGCCTTCGTGGGAGAGACGGTCGTGCGGGGCACCGGTGTGGTCGGAACGTCACGTCGGACCGGTCGTGTTTGGTGTTCACGTGTTTGGGTAGAACGACCTGAAAGAGTGAAGGTGTGAGATCTCTGCATACATGAGATTATACTCCCTAGGGCTCCAAGTAGCTCCTCAGAAGGGCCTCTAAACCCACCCCAAACACCTTCTTAGAAGGTACTTGGAGCCCTAGGGACTGACTATATGTACTCAAAGAGGATCAAAGAGGTCTACATTGGCATGGTTGGACTAGTCATGTAACCTGTACGATCTACCAGCAGTCACAAAGGGGTGCCTATTGGAGGATAGGGGTGCCCATTGTCTACTCACTTAGGGACTAAAAACAATCCCTTTGTAATTAAAGAGGCAGTCTATTTTGACCAAATCGTCCTGTTGTTTTTCGTGCTTTCGGTATTTAACCGACAATCTATTCTAGCCTTCTGAGAAGGTACGACTGGATCCCTAGGGGACGTGGTTGAAACCGAAGTCCCATGAGCATTCCACCCGTCCCGTGGAGGGACTTCCCACCCCCGGTCGTGTGGTGGAGGATCCCGGTCGCATGCACGTTTCTATGGGACTGACATCAGTGACCGATCAATGGACCCCTTTTCATGCATCACCTCCTGGCCGTTTCTCGGGTTGGACTGCCAGTCCGGCGTTCGTGTTGGAGTCCGAAATAGACCCATAGGCCGATCAATTGACCCCTCTAGCACCACCACCCCTGGCCTTTTCTCGGCCGTCCGCAGTCCCAAACGGCTCGCGTCACGTGGCCTTTCGCGCTCGTCACGACGGGTCTCGGACACCGGGTCCGGCGGGCGAGGCACCATTTGGTGCCAGCCGGTGCGGACCGGCTTCGCGGAGCCCAGCATCAACGAGATCCTCCAGGAGCAAACCGGGGTGAACCACGGAGCGAGCGGCGGAACGCGGTGGGCTTGTGGTGGGGTCGCTCGATCTGGCTCCAGACCGGAAGTACCGGTGTCACCGCGTGGGAACCACGGTACTTCCGAAGTCACGAGCCCCATCGAAGTGGTTTTCAGGACGTGCGGGTCGATCTTCGGATCACATCGAAGCACAAACTTTGCTGAGAACATTTGAGAAGTCATTAAAGACCGTCTTTCTGCCTAACGCAAAGCATCTGAGACTACACTCCATGTTGTTTGAGGGATCATATTCGATCAAATCGAACATTCAGATGGATTTGGGTTTGTGACTTGTGACTTGTGTGTGTGTGACATACATCACACAAATACCAGCACCCGACTTCATAGGTCACCACACCTGCGACTCAAGTCAGCAAAAGCCTCCAGAGGAGACCTGTAGAGTCGGGTGCTGGTACATGTGTCTACTGATCGTCTGGAGATGTTTGAAGTCGACCAGGGAAACAGGACTCGTCGACGAGTCGGCATGGAAGACACCCGTTGAAGCATGGCGTGTGTATGTCCTTTTTGCCGCCTGTAGCGTAATTAATGTGTCACTGACTATAGACAGTGCATCAGGTGACAAAAAAGACTTAGGACAATTTGTATAGGTTTGTCAGTTGTCATGGTTTATCACTAGTCTTGCTTGCTTTCCAGTTGCCAAAACCATGAAACACCTCGTCGTGTCTTCTCATTTTGAATTCACTGCTTCCACTCTTTGACTCTCCGTCCGTCCCGTCTCGACCCACGGGGTTTGGTTCGCGGTGGGCGGCAGAACAACGAGTACAGCGATGCCTGTGGCACATCGAGCTGTGTGGCAGCTGGAGTGGCAAGTGACGTTCATGCCGGGCCGTGTGGGTGTGTTATTTGGGGTCCGAAGTCCGGTTCTTTCAGGATCAAACCATCATTTTCAGGGAACCCTTTAATATTGTAACTGTCTTTAGGTCTCCTCTGCCCTCCCCTGCGCTAGGTAGCGATCTTGTTTACTCGGGTTTCGGGCACTTGATGTGTTATTTTCGGCTCTTGGGGCTTCTTGCAGGCTGGAAGAGCGGTTTGGAATGATTCTGGGTTTGGATGTCGAAGCGTATATACCCAGACGCGACCCATGGGACTGCCATAGGACTGCCGATGAGTTGGGGTGGTGCCAGGGGGGGTCAATGTGGGCATATGATAGTTCCATGGAGTGTATGGGATAGGTGCCATGTTGAGCCCGCCCAGTCTTCTGAAGTCGGGAGGGTTTGAGGTAGGTTCTTCCCCAATCGATCCTCAAAGGCCGGAGGTAAGGTGAAACAAGTCAAGGCGAGGTGTTCCATGTGTTTCCTTCTGTTTCATTGGCTTAGTTTTCAGATATGTCAAAACATATCAATTCTGTCCAGACCCAAGTTTGATGAGGATTTGCTTCTGGTCTTCTGAGCATTCTCAGAACTTTGCTTGCAGTGATTTGCAATGCCGATCGGGGCTGGCGGCAGATGGCGGTGGTCCTGTTGCCTGAGTTTGGTACCAGAAGGGTCAGCTCTACATGGCCGAGCTCCATTGCCTGAACACCTTGAGCTCTTCTGGTCTCCATGTTGACAGGACCTTCGCTTTGCCCTTTGCGTCAAGATTGGACCAGCGGGACTGCCGACCGCATCCTTTCCAGTGTGGGTGACAAGGACTGGCTGTGAACGTGAGGTCTCAGCGATGTCGTGGAATGCCGACCATGTCTGTCTTGGCTGCAGCAAACAGGGTGTTTGTGGAGGACCTCAAACCTGATGCATGACCGACTGCACCACGTAGCCATCGACGGCGTAGTCAGTGCTCATGATTCTGCAAATACAGGTGACAACAGTCTTCCCAAGTCTCTGCAAGAACCCCCGCCGCTGTGTTGAATAAGGAAGGAAAGTGCTCAAAGCTTGGTTTATATCGTGAAATCCAGGAATACACTCCAAATCCAGATGGCCTTCTTTGTTCCCACCCACAGTGAAAAGAAAAACACAGACTTTCTTTCTTGCTGATTTGCTTCAACGTCTGGTTTTTCATGCTTGTCTCGCTGCCCAAACTCACTTCTGAAAGCGCTTCTAGTCTCGCAGCGGGAAAGTGAAGTGAGCTGCCCCCACAGTGTCCCCCATGCAACAGCCACTTAAATCAGTGCATTTGCCCCCCTCTTTGCTTGCCAAACCAATGTTGACAGTTGTTTTGGGACGAGGCATCGATTTGTATTGAATGCTTGCCTGTTCTCAGCCTCCATGCAGTGTAGCACTAGTGCCGAGACTGCCATGTGGAATGACACTTCCTATGGGGGGTGGTGGGGTGCTTCCACTTGTCGAAGGCGCGGCATTGAACCTTCTGTCTTCCAAAGTTTAAACATAGCAAGGGCCTCAATTCTGTGTGGTGTTGGTGCATCCACTTGCTGATACCACCGCTTTGAAACTTATGTCTTTCCAAAATTTGGTTGGGTGGGATGGGTTTGCCGTCCGAAACATCTTTCCTATAGGAAGCTTTGAAGTTAACACGCAAACAAACCTAACCAACCAGAAAAACGCATCTCATCAAACTCCAAGTTGGAGTTTGGATGGGTGGGACGCCCTTGGGCCATCTCAAACTTCTTCCCTTGGAAAACTTCCAAGTTAAACATGGAAACTGCCACCAACCAGAAAATATCTCATCAAACTCCAAGTTGGAGTTTGTGGGTGGGAGGGGTTTGAAACTTCTTCCCTTGGAAAACTTCCAAGTTAAAAACATGGAAACTGCCACCAACCAGAAAATATATCATCAAACTCCAAGTTGGAGTTTGTGGGTGGGAGGGGTTTGAAACTTCTTCCCTTGGACACTTCCAAGTTAACATGGAAACTGTCCTGCAACTTCAACCAGCAAAAGCTCATCTTGGAGCACTTTCACAAAAACTCAAATCACTTTTTACAACCCCTAGGGATCCACTGCCGCCTTCTCAGAAGGTACGACTGGGCCCTCCTGGTGCCTACATAAACAGTCTCCAATCACCTGACAAGGTACTTGGATCCCTAGGGAACAGCTAAAGGCTTTGGGTTATTTGGCTTGAACCTGGGAGGCTTCGAAACCTGTTGATGGATTCGACAACCGTTTTCCAGTTCCTTGAAAAGCCCATATATACCTTGGAGTTTTTGTTGGCTCCACTGATTTACCATGGGGTTCTTTTGTCTTTTCATCCTTCTTTGGGACCCCATCGCCCTGGCACTCGCTGTACCACCCTCTCCTCCTCCCCAACTGGGCCTGGCCACCGTCGAGGCCGTTCTTGTCAACGGTCGGACGCACCACCAACTGGACCGAGGTCACCATGACCGGCTTGTACGCCAAGACCGTGCTGCTCGGCGAGAGTGGGGCATGGGAGCGACGGTAGATGTGGTGGGTGGAGTCCTGGATGGATGGTTTATCTATCCACTATCCACCCACGATCCTCGCACTGGAAGTGGATGGAATCATTCAGCTTATTTCTTCATACCCATACAATCCAGGTACCTCCTGAGGATGGTTTGGAGGTGAGTACGTACTTCCTGACCATGGACGTCCTCAGGATGGTCCTGGACCCTCAGGGATAACTTAGGGATATATATATATATATACCAGGACCCCCTAAGGGATGTCTAATTATAGCTCCTTAGGTTAAGGGGTGTCCATTAGCCACCTTGTGGGTCCTGGTATATATATATATATATATCCTATCGTCATATCTTCCAGTGTTCGTGTACTCCGATGTCAGTGTTTAAACTGTGCCCTTCATGGGGAATGTCAGGTCATTTCATCAACCTGGAGATGACTTGTTCCAATTGCAAGGTTTAACGATCCGTCCACACATGGAAATATTCAAGGCATCCAAAAGGAAAGGGACCATAATGGTTAACGGACATATTTTGCAGGATGGGGAAAGATGAAACTGAAGGCAAGATCACCAGAGAACCTAAAGCTGCAAGATGAATCATCTGTCCCAGAGCCACCAATTGTTAACTAAATGACGCGCTTTTCCCGATCCATGTTGGATGAGGTGAGGGACCAGCTCGCAGGTGTTTCGTGCGTAAATGTGTGTAAAACATATCTGGGATTCCAAGGGTTACGTTGGCCAAAGGCAAACAAACTAGAGAACCACCTTCCCTTGCCTCAAAAATGCCTCAAAACCTGCCATGGACGTTGTGGACGTTTTTTGGTGGCCTAGCCGGACACAACTCCTTGGCCGGTGCATCCTTCACGTCCGACCGGCGTGGACCTGCAATTGGACCGAGCGGGACCCGCGCGGTACGACCGCTCCTTTAAGGTACGACATCTGGTGCTATGCGGAAGACGACAACGTTTATCCCCAGATCCCCAACGGTCAGAAGTTCACCTCGGGCGAGGCGTTCGGAATGCGAGGAGATCGGATCGCTTTCTTTGCCCCGGTGCCATAGATTGGGCTCCAGTCGTACCTGCTCAGAAGGTATGACTGGACCCTCAAAACCCACCCCAAACACCTTCTAAGAAAGTGCTTGGAACCCTAGGGTGTTTTGGAACTGCATGGAAAGGCAGCGAATCTTTTTGAGCGCAAGGAACTCGATGTTTTCCAGAGTTTTGTGGATGTGGTATTTTGGCGAATTTGTCATCTTCTGGTCCACTGGAGCCGCCATCAACATGTTCGATTGTTGAACTGGGAGTTTTTCATGTTCAACCTTTGCTTGGGATGATGGGCACTGGAGTGGATGAGACTGTTGTCGCTGGCAGGTAGAGACCCTCAGCACCTTGGACACGACACCGCAGGGCGCTCAGCACGCAGTGGATCGATGCGCTCAGTGGATCGATGCAATCCCCTACAGCTCCAGGAGGCTACCTCCTCAGGTTCAGTATGACTGGACCCGAACCTGGCACCCGGGCCCCCACACCCCTCCGATACGAAGGTACGACTGGAGCCGCATTTTTAAGAATCCCAGGGGGGGGTTGCACAGCTCCGGTTTGGACACCTGTCCTTTCACGATCGCCATCTGGGACTGGCATATGAATCCATACATTGGGGTGGTTGAAAAGGGGTCAATGTAGGTATATTATACGTACCATACATGGAATGTCGATATGCCACTTTCAGACAGCTCGTGTTTGGGTGGTCGTGTATGCCTGGTTCTCGGGTTTCAGGGTTGGCTTTTGATGAAAGGGCGAAGCTTCCAGCTTCCATGCACCGGATGGCATAGCCAATGCCCAGTCTCAGTCCCAGTCTCTCAGTCCAGCTTGACCTAATTATGGGTCTGACATGACTTGGTCCTTGTCCAGGTCTCCTGGTCCTGAAAACCACACAAAATAAATTGATGTCGTGTTTCTGTATGACCAAATTCCAGTAACATGAGACCCATGCAATGAGACATGAGACGGATGCTAGTGAAGGATGTTCCCCCGCACACGCAGCGTCTTGTTCACGCGCAGTTCGCACCCGCCCGCTGGACGGATGAAGCCCGGGCGCTGCATGCATCGATTGGACGCACTGCGACAGCCACGAGGCCAATCTTGACCATCGTCTCGGCCGAGAGCCCCACAAGCTCAGACATCCGCATCAAGGCGCTGGCGGAGAGCTGTTGGAGAGCTCCCTGGGAGAGCTGAGATGTAGAAGCTGAGGTCTACCGAAAGGACCTTCCAAAGGTGGCCAAGCTTCCCATCAAGACAGTCCAATGGAGCTAGGTTAGGTAGATGGTGATAGATGGTGAGCGGGTGAGGAGAGGAGGCGGTGCTGCACTTCTGGAATCTTCTGGACTATTGGTGCGAATTCTCATTTGATGGGAGCTGAACTGGAAGACCATTCCAACCAGAATGCTGGAAGACTATTCCACTGTTTAGACGGGGATTTCGGAGATGGTCCAAGATTTTGAAGTGGTCAGACATAGTCAGGCTGCTATTCGGACTGGCCGTGCTGAATCTACCGGCAGAACTGAACCCTTGAAACTGTATTGAATGGAACAAAGCCCTGCAGCATTCTGGTTACAGCTAATCCACCTCGTCGTGAGCTGCAAGAAACTAGTGAAGACTATGCCAGGGAAAACGCACAAAAAAAATACAATAGATTGTTTTCCTATTCAGGTCAAGGCTCAAGACCAACCATACTGATTGCTTTCAACTAGAAAAGAGCATGTCGAAGCCTGTATATTTTAGGTGTGTTTGGGGTGGTGCTCATGTTGGTTCGTTCATCAGGAGTCCTACCCTACTGTTTTCGCGTTTCGACCGCCAGGTCAAGCTGGACGAGCCTGGAACTGTCGGGTGTGCCCAGAGCTCCTTTGAAAAAGGACTTCACTGGAGCTATAACCAACTCACTGGTTTCCTGTTCATGTCGAGGTTTTGCGTTGCGCAACTTGTTTTGGTAGGTGGCATTTTAGGAAAACCCTGCTCTTGACCCACCAAAGCATCGACCGTTGCGCGGCTCAACAACCTTCACCTCAACAAGTCCGGTCTGGATCGTGACCCAGGTGCGTGTAGCAAGTTTGACCGTTTCCACCGTGTGATTCTTCGGTCAACTGCTCCGTTTGGTGTGCACCCACAGCCATTTTTGGTAAGAAATGAGGTCCACCATCGAAATGACTTCTCAGAGCATGATGGAGCAGAGCCACAGCTTTTTCGGTCCGGTCCACCATGCATTTCGCGCAGAAGAGAACGGTGCCCCACCAGGACCCAGACTGTCCGTTCACCGTCACCGTCTCTGAGGTTTGGTGTAACAGCTTCCAGGCTGGTACTGCCTATGGCAGTCCCAACTTTGCCGCCGTTGGGCAGCTCAGGACGATGGTCGTGCAGAGCGAGCGAACTCTGCGAAGAGTTCGCAGTGGAAAGGTGTTATCGTCGATCCAGAGCTTCAACTACCTCCGTTTCGAAGATGGGACAGGGGTGGGTGCCAGTCGACTACCACCTGAGGAGATGGGACAGGAGGGTTTTAAAGGATGAGGAGGAGTGTTTTCAGCATTGTTTCAGGTGTTGGGTGCGCAGAAACAGCACTGAACTCCCAAGTGGAAAAAGATTAACTAGTTGACCATGTCCATCGATTTGTACCACAACCACGACATTGGAATACTTTCTTTGCCTAAAACACCCTAAATAGCGCATCAGAATCATGCAGAATCAGTTCAAGTTCTTGAGGTCAAGGTCCCTGTGGTGAGGGTGTACTTTCAACCAGCTGGATTTTGTTCTTTTGATCGAAGCAAATTCTTTGTTGAGGTATGCAGCTATGCTGACGTCAAAAGCCTTATCATTCCTTCAGTTTTGCAAACTTATATGCATCATCTAACCACCATGAGTTAAGCCACACAGTGTTGGTTCACGCGTCCATGTTGGTCAATCCTCTTTGTGAAGGTGTCTAACTCCAATGACTATCCCCACTATCCCTGATGTCGTAGGCTGCGTCAGCTCGCCAGCTCTCCTCTAGTTATTGCTGATCGAAGACCTGTCGTCGACGAAAAGTCGCAACTCCACGGAATGATCGACACCCCACGACACAAGAGCGGACCGTTTGAACCGGCGGCTTCGGGATCTCCGGCTGAGTCCGTAGCTGGTTCTGTTGGACTCGTTTTGGTTTCTTCTTGCTTCGCCCGCCCGAAACCCTGACCGTCGCAAGCTCCGTGGTCGACGTTCCCAGGTCTCGGGCGGCGGCTTTCGAAGCTACGTGGGCTTCCCTGGCCTGTCGTCCGGATGCCCGCGGGGTGGACGGTTTGGCCGGCGCCGTTGTTGGCACCGATGCGAGCTGCGCGGCTCTCAAGCTTTGATATGGAAAAATTCAGGTGCGTAGTCTTGCAACTTGAGTTAAGCCACTTGACTGAGACCAATCACACCTTCACTTGAGTCTTCTGCCTGAGACCAACAAGAAGAGACCAAATGCCTGAGATGAAGGTGTCACACTGGTCTCTTTTTGTTTGATCATTGAAGCAAGTCGCGAACGAGCGGCCCAGCTGGTCCCAGAAGGGGCAGCAGCGGTCATGGTGGTGCTTCGATGGCTGGAAGACGGGTCTTCCAACGGGTCGAATTGAATTTAGACTTGTCTTGGCCTCCTCAAAAAGTGATGATAGTGCTTCAGGTGCATCCACCATATTTAATCCCGTCCTCCTAATAATAAACACGGGCCCCCCCCCCCCTATTAAAAAAACCTCGGTCGCATTTTTTCTAATAGGGGGTCCCTGAAATCGGGGGGCCCAAAATAGGGTCACCTGGAAACAGTTTCAAAACCAAAAAGTAATCCATGAAAATTTTATATAAAATCCTTTATTAAACTCATATCAAAAATGCAAAAAACCGCCAGATCGAAGGGTCTTCCTTTTCCCCTACAAAAACCTTCATTAGAATAGTGATTCTTCAGTAGACTAACAGCTAAAGCTTTCGAAAGGTGATGTCGCTGTGCCATGCGGTGTTGCATGACCTGCAAGTGCGTTTGCGTGAGTCCGTGCCATTGAGGGAAGGAAAGCCTGCTGGTGTAAGCGCGGCGTGTCATGGTGGAGTTTTGGGGAACCTATAATTAAAAAAACTACCACCAAAATCGACCATGTTGGTAGTTTAGTAGCGGTTTGAAAGGGCGGCAATTTAAAACCAAATATAAACCGAATTTAGGGGTTCGGACGTGGTGTTTTTTTAATTGGGGAGTGTTTATTAATAGGTACTCGGGATTAAGCCTCTAACACTACTAACCACCCGCCAGCACTGCTAACCACAAACTGCTTGCGCTTTTGCCTGCTTGCCACGTGCCTCGAATCGAGCCTTTTCCCGCGTCTCCTTGAGGCCCAACAGCCCCATCAACACCAACGTGGAAGTCATCGTTTCAGGGCTGGATGAGTTCACCCTCTACGACACGTGCGCGAGCGAATCTCGTCGGTTTCCAGGGACGCACGTAGAGGATTCAGGGGTGCATGGTAGACTGCAGTAGATCCAGAGGAGCACTTCTGGAGGATTTGAAGAATGGGTGGCACTTCTCAAGGGTTCGGACCTACACTGTGGTAGGACATATGGCGATGCACAGTGCACCGTCCGCAATTTGCACGCTTTGACAGGAACAAACATACACTGTGGTACACCTGCAAGTGCGGCCAGTGACTGTTCCAGTGAATGCATGCTCCGATCCTGCCAGCACCGATATCCAGTGGGTAGCTCCATTGAGTATCATGAATTCATAAATCAGTATGAAAACCTCTCTTCATCTCTCTCCCAAGCAAACAAAACACCACCTTCCAGTCATGGAGAGATAGCTGCGCTCTAGTAGCTGCGGCATGGACTATGTGAGCAAAGAACAGTATACAGACATACAGGCAGTTGATTGAATTTGTACTGAGTGATTTACTGCCTTTTAGGGGTGCCTACGGGTGCTAATCCGGATTCTTTCATAGAACTTTGAGGACATGTGCCGGTTAGTTAGTTAGTTAGTTAGTTAGTTAGACCTTTGGCACGAGAAAAAAACACATGGACGCCACATGACGCCACTTCCAGGTACTGTGCTGCGGAGGGCGCTTCCACCTTGCCTTCGGTGAACCAGATGCTCGCGGCGCGCGGGGTCAGTTAGACGTGTGAGACGTGCGAAACGGCCGGCCGAAGTGGTTGAGGGTTTACTGTATGGACACAGATCACATGATATCACATGAACAGTGATTGAATGTGATTTAGGGTTTACTGTATGGATATCCTGTGATATCCATCCTCAGAAGTTCTGAACATGATCGCTGCAGTGTAGAAAACAAACACATGGATGGAGACGAAACCAGATCTCCCACAGCGCAAATGGTGGTTCTTGGATGTTCTTGGCTACCAAGTGAGCTTTTGGTGGCTAACCATGGCCCCTTTGCATCGCAGTTCATCGCTTGTGGGTCGTTGGTCACGTCCTGGAAGCCGCAACTGGACCTGTAGAGACTAAACTGGGGATTGTGTGACGTGTTGTGCTGTCATGCTTTTGTGAAGCCCAAACAGCTGGTCTTTGCCTTCCCCAGTCTTTGTGCAACTTCATGTTTCTCCGTGAGTGGTCAGATATCTGTGAACATCGAACCCCTTGCAACCAAGAAAGCATCCGCGGTGTCACGCCCGGCACCCCACCCTAGCACGGACCGCAGGCTGATATCCTCCTGACCGCCCCAGCAGTCGGTCAGAGCCTCAGTCGGTCAGCAGTTCAGACCTTGGCAATCTGGCGGGGTTGCTGGAGTTGGTGCAAGAAGAACTGTAAGAGAGGATGGTCAGAGGATGGCGAGTAGTTGAGCATGTGTTGTTTTTGTTTAAATGTGTTGCAACTAAGGGATTCCAGTAACTTGGATTCCCATGTGCTAAGCCTGGCTTCAGAAGTCAGAGGCAAGAGAGGGAGTTTAAGGAAACTGAATCCAGAACACAGTGGATTGCACAGCTGTTTAACTATTTACCCATCCACCCACCCACCTGGCACCACCCGCCATGTGCATGCGCTCCAACCAGTTCTCCATGCACTCCTTGAGGTCAGATCACCACCTTGGATCAATCCCCACCCGTCTTTACCGAGCTGGGTGCCAGTGGTATCACTGCCCGACGCCTCAGTATGTGTTTTTTCCTGGACAGTACGACCGAGCTGGGTGGTGTTCCTCGCGTGGTGAAACCATCAACAACGCTGGAAACGGTCGAGTTGGATTCGTGGTGAAACCAAAGAGATCACGTGGTGCCCCGGTGGTCGAAGCCCCGGTGGTCGAAGGCCTTTTGATCCTCGTGAAGATGCACTTAGTTGGTTCATTGATGGAGCATTCATCGGAGAATTCGTGGCCCATCCAGAATCCAAGACGAATCAATGTGACCAGCAACTTGGGGATGGCAACGGATATACCGGCCAAGCATTACTACGGTGGTAACAAAGCTCCCTGTGACTCACAGTTTGGGGGGGTTCTTTTTGGGAGAAACACACAGACCATATGTATCCCTGCAAATCCAAGTACCTTCTCAGAAGGCACCTGGACCCTCCTGGCACCCACCCCAGTCCCACCTTCTGAGAAGGCACTTGGATCCCTAGGGTATATTCATACGCGTATTCAGCCACAACGGGGAGATCCATTTGGCCCAACGACAACCAGCCGATGTTGCTGAGGTTCATCCATCTGGAACACAGGTCCAGTCTTCGGGTCCTGAAAGCCATATACCCTAGGGCTCCAGGAGGTTACCTCCTCAGGTTCGGTTTGACTGGACCCTCTAAACTCACCTCAAACACCTTCTTAGAAGGTACGACTGGAGCCCTAGGGATAGTTGTGTCTTTAGATGATTAAAGGACGGTCCACAAGACCTCCCCAATCCTTTTCTCAGGAGGTAGTTGGAGCCCTAGGGTTATGACATAAAGCTGCTTGCTATGTCTGAAAAACCTTAAATTAATAGTTATTTTAGGAATAAAATAGGAAAAACATAGGAACTGAAAATAGGAAAAAAAAAGGACACAAAGAGGATGAGTCTCAAAAATAGGAAAAGAAAAGAGCTGGATTTAGAAATAGGAAAGGAATAAAAGGAAAAGAATGGCAGCACTCTAGGACAGGAACATAAAATGGACCTAGCCCCAGTGGACCCAGGTCTGGCGGACCTAGCCCCAGGGTAGCTAGGCCTAGCCCCGGTGGACCTAGGTCTAGCGCTAGCCCCAGTGGACCTAGGCCTAGCCCCGGTGGACCTAATTTTTTACTATTTTTTTCCTATTTTGGGGGGGGTGCGAAAATCGTCCTATTTTTTCCTATGTTCAATTCCTATTTTTCTATTTTTTCCTAATTTTTTCATATTTTTTAAACTAAAAATAGGAAAAATTAGGCAAAAATAGGAAAAATTAGGAAAAATATGAAAAATATGAAAAAATAGGACCCCCCCCAAAAAAATAGGTAAAAAATAGTAAAAAATAGGCAAAAAAAGCACCCCCCCCACAAATAGGAAAAAATACGAAAAAATTAGGAAAAATAGCCCTCCGTGGACCTAGGTCTGGCGGACCTAGCCCCAGTGGACCTAGGCCTAGCCCCGGTGGACCTAGCCCCAGTGGACCTAGGTCTGGTGGACCGAGGCAATGATCCTCTTTTATTCCTATTTTGTGTTGTCAGCCCTATTTTATTCCTATTTTGGGGTCCTATTTTATTCCTATTTTTTTCCTAAAAATATATATTTTTGAACACTCCAGAGATAGCAATAGCTTTTTTTCATAACCCTAGGGTATGTTGGCCCGTTGGGAATTGAACCAATTCAACGGATCCTTTATTTTTGAGACGGAATTCTATCATCCCAATATGTCCTGCAAAATCCTGCAAATATAAACCGGAAGCGGTTAGTTCATCCACTTTCTCAGCTTCCTTGAGAAAAGCATCTCCCCGACGGATGCCCTGAGACGTGCCAAGGAGACCACGATCCAAGTGACCTTCAAGTGCAACGAGGTGTTTCTGCCGACGCGCTGGTCTCCGCGCGGTCGTCAGAGGTAGTGTCAGAGGTCCTTTAGTACCCAAGTCATTCATTGAACAGGTCTCCGAACCCTTGCGGTAAAACGATTTCAAAGGCTTAACTTCGGTGAGTGACCCCTTTTCTGAGAAGCCCTAGGCCCTACTCAAGTCTTTCGTGTCCAGAGCTAGGGAAAAACGGCGGAACACACAGACGCAGCCCAGCCGCTCGTGAGCTCACCTTGAATCCTGGAGCGGGAGCCACTGAAGCCTGTTCGCGGTGGAGCCAGATCCAGGCAGAACTTTCCATGTTTCTTTCGACACGAGTGTGAAGAGTTGATCCATGGCTCCTGGACTGTTTCTTTGAATATTACCTAGTAATTAGCTTTAGTTATTCAAATTTATATACTATATGTAACTAGCTATATGATATCATTTGGGCTTTTACATATGGGACATATAGTGGGACATATTACTACTGTATGTTACTTTGTCATGGATCTATACTTCACAGATTAATAATGTGCCTATTACTATTGGATGAATGACCAAGTTTAAACGTGTGAATCCTTTTGTGTGGCTCCAACAGATTCTTGTCACTTGTCACCACTAAACAAAACCGAGGAAAAACCTTCGGGTTCCCACACCTAGCAGTTCACAGTATGGATACAATCCACCGTTTGACTTGCAGACTCTTGCTTAGTAGGGAAAGAGGGAACGAGCCCCCAATATAGATTGAGATTCCTTTAGATCCATTTCCTAAGCACAAGTCGGCTTGTGAGTGAGCCGTCAAATCAACTGCGATTCCGTCGCAGACGGGTGAACTGATGACGTGAACAGACGGCGAACCAGGGAACATGGGAATGTATGGAAGATGCTGCATACCCCTGAAACGACCCCAATATGTATCCCCATGTAGGCCACTATACCATACATAGAGTGTTTGGGTTAGCATTTTAGATGCAGACCTCATACACTCAGAGGTAAAGGTTTGATATACAGACATTCTGCGATCCCAGGAATTTGTGGTGTCTCGTCAATTAGCTCACCTGGGGTTGTTTCTGCCGTGAGTGGCTTTGCAATGTTTTGTCCACGGCCACATGCACCAGCATATCAGGGATCAAACTCCGTTGGCATATGCAATGCTGGGTGGTGGATTCAGACCTTTACTTGGGATGATTGAACCCACCAAAATGGACGTGGCCTGAAGTGGCTAATGACTCGATACCTCGAGGAAACCAGATCGAAACAACTTGTTTAAAGTGTGGGGCAACCAGCGGTTGTTTGTCCTTGCATTTGGAGCTTTCCCTCTCAAGCAAAGCAGAGCACATTAGGAGAGATGAGGATACAGTGGGAGCTTATTTGATTGCATGTCTTTCATGAACATTAAGTTGCTGGGTGGATCGCTCTGCCGCCCACACATCGACATAGCAGAAAGTTGGGCTCCTATGTTAAAGTGAGCTTTTAGATCAACTTGCCTGGGAAGACCACGACTTGACGTGATGAAGAACTACCAGAAAACAAAGCAAGACATCCACAGCGGCGGCAAACGCGGCAACCAAACACACCAAAAGAAAAGCACACAGCCACACACACAATCGCGCACAAAGACACAAGAGAAACATCACGCAGGACATCCGAAAACACACCACAAACATCCACCCACTATACCCAAACAATCAAACAGCTTTTCCTCCGTCCAGTCGCCGCTCGTCCATCCGCCCAGTTTTGGCCACCGTCCATGGCGGATGTAGCGGCTGGAGGGCGCTGGGCATTGTGGCTGGCGAGCTGGTGGGGACTGAAAGGGCTCCTTTGGGACACTCGGAGGTCGGAGGATAGTGAAGGGATGGAAAGTCGAGGTCGGTGGGCCGTTTTGGGACACTCGGTGGACCGTTTGGGATCCTTTGGGGGTTTAGAAGATGTTCTAAAAAGGATGATTTCTGGCTGAACCAGGGTGATTTTATACAAAAATAGTCCAAATTTGGATCCTTTGGGTTTAGACGATGTTGGATCCTTTTTGGAAGAATTTTGCGAGAAGTGAGAAGCGTTGACCCTTTCGCGATCGAGAGGGAGATCCACAGATCGCCTGCGGGACCCCCATACCTCCCCAAAACATCCTCCCCCGGGCTTGAGCAGTTGGTGAGTGCGAAGATCTCACCAGATCCACGGTTTCCTGAAGCTCCACTCGGTACAGCCCCACCAGAAGCCTTAATACAGTCTGTCCTGTTGGATCCGTTGATCGGTTTCAGGACGTTCTCTGGTCCAACCGCCAGTCCAACCGGAGGCTCGGGGAGGCTGGAGAGGCTTTCAGTGGAGCAACGTGGGATCCGGTACCCGAAGCGGCGTCGGGAGAGGTGGATCCATGGATCCGTCGCTGGAATAGTAAGTATACTCCTTGAAGGTAAGGGAGCATTCCATTCCATTCATGGTCTGGAATGGATAAGGCTCCCAAGGGGATCTAAATCATGGGGGGGATTATTCCCTCATTCATCCTCATTCCCTGCGAGTCGCTCCGTTTTCTGTTTGCTGTTTTTTTGCTGAGTGGTTCCCCACTCCATTGGCCTAAGGAGTTCGACCCAAGCATCTATGTCTTATGCCTGAGCCTCGCCACGCATGTGCGTGTGCCGCCACCCTTCGGCCAAGTGCCGCCCTTGCTGGACGTGTTCATCGTGTGACCTGGCAGAACTGGGCAGCGGTGGTGGGCTGGCTGGCTCCACTCCGGTCAATGTAGGCATATATGGCATACATGGAGTGTCTGGGACTGATGGATTTTCACTGTACAAGCAGTGGATGTAGCAATTGTCAGACTATTCATTGACCTTTTTTCGCCAGTCATGGTATTTCAAAGAACCAAAACGTCTTCCCGTCACATCCTCAGAATCAACTCTAGCTTGTCAACTCCTTTTGATGAAACAGTTCAACTTCAAGTGTTCGAGTTTCAACTGTGAAGGTCTCTTTTTTGGTGCTGAAAAACATCAATCCAAATATGGGTGTGGGTCTTAACCGTGCAGGATGTCGCCCTTTTAATGATTTGTAGGGTGACCCACAGCCATACCTGGATCTTCCATCTGTGCCAAACTTCTGCCGAACTTGGTTTCTTTAGATGAAAAGGCAGAAGGTGTCGCAGAGTTGGAAGATCCAGGTATACATCCCATTCCCCAATAAGAGTGGGATGATGGATAGGTGACCCACAGCCATGTACCACCTTTCTCTTCAGCTCAGCTTCTCCCTCAAAGCTGCCGGCTGAAAGGCCTTCGCCCAGGGCCACGGAATCCGGAGCCCAGGTATTTCCAGTGCTTCAGTCCCTTCTGTAGCCTGCTCTTTGGTACCTTGGCCCTCTGCAGCCTGGCTCAGACTGAGAGAAAGGCTGCCAGAGGCCAGCCAAGCGAAGTCTTCACCATGCTTCACCTAAAGTTTTTGGCCCAGAGAAGGAGAAATCCTACGTGGTCCATCTTGTTGGTCTTCCAATGAACCCAGCTTGGACTGCTTGATACTGCTTCCATTGGGTCACCCATTGGATGGTCGGGGTCGAACTGGCCTACACTGCGTGCAGGCTTCCACTCCATTGAAAACCCAGAACTGGGCACCCTGCCATTGCATGTTCATTCTTCACATTGCTACATGCCCTCACATTGATGCTTTTGTCCAACCTCAGCTGATGCAACCGATATGGTGAGTGGGGGTGAGACATGAGCTCATGTCCTCGAAAAGAATCGACCAACACTCGTTGGGCCAGCGGGTGAAACCCCATTTAAATAAGCACCCATATCCTGCCAGCCCAGGTACTTATGGAAGATTTGCCTCCATTGAAGTTGATTTATGATGTTTCGAGGGTCAATGTAGGTCAATATGTCATACGTGGATGGTATGGGATTTGGATATTGGTGCTGTTGGCATATAGCTCCTCCTGGAACCCAAGAAGTTCCGCAGACTCCCACAAGCTACCACGGACCCTAAATACCTGGCACGAGCGAGATGTCATCTCATATGCTATAGGGAGGAGAAGGTCAGACCATGTCAGACCTATGAAGTCGAATGCAACAAGATAATCGATTACATTTTGTTGCATGCTATGAAGAAGAAGAGGAAGAAGAAGAAGAATCATAATTATAAGTTATAATAAGCAAAAAGAGGAAGAAGAAGAAGAAGAAGAAGAAGAAAAAGGAAGAAGAAGAGCAACCACGTGCCACAAACACATCCGTTTTCTCCATTGATTCGCCCCCCCACGAGGCTACCGTTCTCCCACCTGGCTCCTGAGTAGCGCCTCCTGCGCCTGGGCCGCCTTTGGTCGACCCTGCTGGCCGCGGAGAGGCGCGCAGCGGCCGGCGCGGCCCTGGTTGACCATGCCACGCGGTGGGAAGTGGCTGGGTGGGCTTCCATGGTGGGAAGGGAGTGGGTCATGCCTAGCAGTGGGAGTGTTCGCTGCGTGTCCGCAGCTTTCAGGTGTTGAGTAAACTGGGTAGGTGGTACGGTGGTACAGTTCAAAAAGAAGTTTCATACAGAACGGGATGCAGAACGGGATGCTGCAGAAGTTTCGTTGTGATATGTTGTAGAGCATCGATGCGGGGGACAGATCACATCTCTACAGAGATGCGTGGCATGTGTGGTGGGTTCCTGGCAAACGCTCTCCACTCTCCACCGGTGGCATATCGAAGCAAAGACCGGACGGCCGCAGCCAGGGAGATTTGTGAAAAAAAGCCTAGAAGGGTGGGGTTCCAACTGGCTTTCTCGAGCCATCCATAGGCTTTTTTTTGAGCCATCCATAGGCTTTCTGGAGCCATCCATAGGCTTTTTTTTAAGCCATCCATTTGCTTTTTTTTTAGGCCTCCCATTGGCTTTTTTTTGCGCCATCCATTTGCTTTTTTTTTGAGCCATCCATTGGCTTTTTTTTAAGCAATCCATTGGTTTTTTTTTGAGCCATCCATAGGCTTTTTTTTGAGCCATCCATAGGCTTTTTTTTGAGCCATCCATTGGCTTTTTT